ATGAGGATATTTGTAGAGCCTTATCCTCCACTGAATTGTTTAATTACCCACCATCTTTAACAACTGGGTGTGGCAGGACTGTAGAGTTAGTCAGGATTCAAATCTGAGTCCCCAGAACATTAGCTGAGTTTCTGGATTAATGGTATAGCGATAATGCCACTATGCCATCGCCTCCCGATGAGTCCACTAGCCATTTCACCCATCGAATCTGATCCATCATTCGGCAAGATCTTGACTGATCTGATGATCCTCATCTCCACTCTCCTGCATTTTCCCCATAATCCTTGATTTCCTAACTGATTAAAAATATGTCTTTCTTCGCCTTGAACATACTTAATGACCCAGCCACAACTGCATTCTGTGGTAAAGAATTCCACAGATTCACAACCTTTGGAGATAAAAAAAATTCCTCTTCACCTCTGTCTTAAATGTGAGACTTCTTATTCTGAGATTATGCCCTCTGGTCCTGGACTATCCCACAAGGGGAAACAACCTTTGCACGTTTACCATGTCAGGTCCCTTATGAATCTCGTGTGTTAATAAGGTCATCTCTCATTCTTCTATATTCCAGTGAGTACAGGCCCAATCTACTCAGCCTTCCTCATAAGACAGTCCCTCCATACATGGTATCAACCTACTGAACCTTCTTGGGACTGCCTTCAATGTCGGTATATCTTTCCTTAGATAAGGGGTCCAAAACTGTTCACAGTATTCTAGCTGTGGTCTGACTAGTGCCTTGTATAGTTTTAGTAAAATTTCCTTACTTTTATACTCCGTTCCTTTTGACTATTCCTCCACATCGTAAGGTCAGAAGTGAAATATTTGCAGATGATTGCACAGTGTTCAGCACTATTTGTGACTCCTCATATACTGAAGCATTTCATGTCCAAATGCAGCGAGAATTAGACAACATCCAGGCTTGGCCTGTCATGTTCATGCCATACAAATGCCAGAAGATGACTATTTCCACAATGAGAGAATCTAATTAACCACTGCTCCTTGAAAATATTCATTGCTGAATATCCCACTGCAAAAATCCTGGGGGCTACCATAGTCCAACTTGCCACATAAACACAGCAGCCATAAGAGCAGATCAAAAGCTAGGAATACTACAATGAGTAAGTTGCCTTCTGACTCCCCAAAGCTAAGTATCCAGAAGACCCAAATCAGGAGTGTGATGGATACTCCCTGCTTGCCTTGATGAGTGCAGCTCATCACTGAAGAAGCTTGACACCATCCAGGACAAAGCAATCTGTTTGATTGGCACCACACCCACAAGCATCCACTCCCTTCACCTCCGATGCTCAGAGTGTACTATCCATAATATGCCATGCAGAAATTCACCAGATGTCCTTAGATTGTACCTTCCAAACCCACAACTACTTCCATCTCGAAGGACAAAGGCAGCAGATACATGGGAACACCTTTGCCTGAAAGTTCCCCTCCAAACTATTCATCATCCTGAATTGGAAATATTTCACTGTTCCTTCACTGTCATTGGGTCAAAATTCTGGAATTCCGTCCCTAAGGGCATTGTGGGTCTACCTACAGTGGACTGCAGTGGTTCAAGAAGGCAACTCACCACCAACTTCTCAAGGGCAACGAGGGATGGGCAATAAATGCATGCCAGCTAGTGATGCCCATGTCCCACAGGTGAAAGAAAAATGGTTTACTTCTGCTCCAATGTTTTATGATCTCATAGGGAATGTCACTGGTAAAGCAGTTGAAGATGGTTGGGTCTAGGACACTACATTGAAGAGCTCCCGCAGACATGTTCTGGAGCTGAGATGACTGATCTGCAATAGCCTCAACTATCTTCCCTTGTGCTTAATATGTCTTCAAACAATAGAGTTTTTACCCAGATTTTCACTAACTCAAGTTTTGCCAATGCTCCTCGATACCACACTGTGAGTGCAATGGCTTTGGTGGAACCCAAACAGAGCACCAACGAGCAGGTTATTGTGCTGCAAATGCTGCTTGATAACACTTGTTGATGAACCCTTCCATCACATTACTGATATGGTAGGCATTGCCTCGTTGGATTTGTACTGTTTTTGGCGCACAGGACATATTTGAGCAATTTTCCACATTGTTGGGTAGGTTCCAGCGTTGTAGCCATACTGCAACAGTTTCACGCGAGGAGTGGTGGCTTCTGGAGCATGTCTTAAGTACTTTTGCCAGAATGTTGTCAGGGCTCATAGCCTTTGCAGTATTCAGTGTTTTTTGCTGTTTCTTGACATTAGGTGGAGTCAACAAAAGTGGCTGAAGACTCGCATCTCTGTTGCAGGGGACCACTGAAAGAGGTCAAGATGGATCGTCCTTAACTTTTTTATGAATGTACTGGGGCCACCCATCAGACAGAATAGGGATATTTGTGGAACCTCCTCCTCCAATGAAGTAATTATTCAGACTGCATGTGGCAGGACTACAAAGTTTACATATGGTCCATTGGGTATGGAATCACTCAGTCTGCCTCTCGCTTACTGCTTCTATTGTTTAGCATGCAAGTTGTCCTGTGTTGTAGCTTCACCAGGTTGACACCTCATTTTTAGGCATGCCTGTGCTGCTCCTTGCATACCCTCCTGTACTCTTCTTTGAACCAGAGTTGGTCCTGTTGGCTTGTTGCCAATGGTACAATGGAGTTATGCAGGTCATGAGGTTGGAGATTGAGTTGGAGTATAATTCTGCTGTTGATGGCCTACACTACCTCATGGACTTCCAACCTTGAGTTGCTACATCTGTTCAAAGTCTATCTGATTTAATACAGTGGGTAGTGCCACACACCATAGAGGGCTATCCTCAATGTGAAGACAGGACTTTGTCTCCACTTCTACTTACTGTCTTGGGCAGATGTATCTGTGGCAGGCAGATTCATGAGGAGGAAATCAATTCTGTAATTCACTCTTGTTGGCTCCTTCACCATCTGCCACAGATCCAGTGTGGTGGCTTATGTCCTTTAAGACCTGACCAGCTTGACTAGTCGAGGTGCTTTCAAACCAATCATGGTAATGTACATTGACATCCAGCATCCAGTGTAAATTCTGTACCCTACCAACATCAGTGCTTCCTCTGTGCTGTTCAACATGGAGGGTGCTTCATCAGCCCGGGTGCTTGGTAGGAATCAGCAGGAAGTTTCTTGCCCATGTTTGACCTAATAATATGAGACTTTGTGGGGTCTGGAGTCACTGTTCAGGGCTCCCAGCGTAACTCAATCAGAAACTGTATATCATTGCTGCCACGTCTGCTGGGTTGGTTCTGCACTGGGACAGGACATATCTGGCATGGTGGTGGTGTCTGGGAAATGGTCTGCAAGGTCTATGGATATGACTGTGGAGACACTGCATTAGGATGGCATGGTGGCTCAGTGGCTCACAGCACCAGGGACCAGTGTTTGATATGCCGTTTCGTGGCTATTCTATGATACAGTTGTCTCAGCTTTAGCACTCACATCCAGGTAAGTGTCAAGGAGACTTTGCAGGTTTCAGAGAGCTGAGTTTGCTGCTGTTATTTCCATTGCTTAGCTTAGGGCCAGTGGTCCTTATGGTCTCACTTTTTTTGTTAAACTTTGTAACACTTTACTAGTACCGGGCAGCTCATTTCAAGGGGTGCTTAAGAGTCACATTGTGATAGGTCTGGAGTTCCACGGAGGCCAGCCAAGCTATTAATAAAAACAGAAGACTTCTTTCCCTAAAACACTGAACAAGTGAGGTTGTTGACTGCTCACCGAGCTGGCTTGTTCTCGTTCAGACTTTTCATCACCATGTTCGGTGACATCATCAGTGGAGCGTCCGATGAAGCAATGTTATTTTACTCCGGAGATAGCAGGAACTGCAGATGCTGGAGAATCTGAGATAACAAGATGTACAGCTGGACGAACACAGCAGGCCAAGCAGCATCAGAGGAGCAGGAAGGCTGACATTTCGGGCCTAGACC